TTACATTGGACCAATCAACTACGATCGACCGTGTATCTGCACAGCCCTAACGGCCATATCAAAACTCGAAGTTCCAATATTCCGAACCAGAAGCTTCAGCAAATCAGCCCTCGATTTTCTCCATGTGTGCAGGTAGCTGAAACGGGCAGATCAGCACCCCAGTTTCTCCCATGTTTCTAGGCTACTTTACCGGGCAGATTAATGCCCAATATCAAAAATGTGATTAGACTGCTGAAACGGGCTGATAGACGCCTATTTATTTATATATATATATATACATTTATATATATATATACATTTATATATATATATACATTTATATATATATATACATTTATATATATATATACATATATATATATATTTTTCATGTATCTGGACAGCTTTAGCAGGCTGATTAATGCCCAATATCCAGAATGTGGTCAAGTAGTAGTGACAGCGGGCAGATCAGCCCTCAATTCTCTCCATGTGAACCGGATGATGGAATGGCTGATCACTGCTTGATTTCCCCCATGTAAGCCGATAGCTCTAGCGGGCAGATTAATGGCAGCGGGCAGATCAGCCCTCAGTTCTCTCTTCGTCAACAGTCCACAGGATGATAGAACTGGCTAATCAGCGGGCAGATTAATGTCCAATATTCAAAATGTGCTCAAGTAGTAGGAACAACGGGCAGATCAGCCCTCAGTTCTCTCCATACCACCCTTCAAATTCTCAAGTCCACTCCCTCTACTCTCACCCACGCGCTCTCCCGTTCAACAAATCTGATATGGTAGGAGCCAGGTGAGTGCAATARAATAAATAAATAAATAAATAATAATAACAATAATAAAAACGAACAAAAGGACCCTCTCTCACACACTCACTTTGCACAGTCCCTCACCTCGACTCTCTCTAATTGGCTCTCTCTCATTCACTCCAATAGTCACGTTCTCCTCTTTCGTTCTCATTCCCGCTTGTGGACTATTCCTCACTCTCTCGTCAGTTGATACAGATGCTACCCGACCAGCAAGCTAGTTCACTGGCTCGAATTCAAATGCACTTGGACGAGGGCAGATCAAGCTGCGTGCGCGCACTATCCAAAAAAAAAGAGAAAAAAAAACAATAGAGCAAACTGTTCTCTCTTATCTCTCTCTCACGCACGTATGCAGTTGCGATCTCCAGTCAACACCGGGGGCCGCTATGCACGCCCTTGCACATTCGACCCAGCCTCTCCATACATCTGACTCGTCCCCATCATCTTTCTTGGCAATCCCGTTCAGAAGTCAACTGACCGGACAGGGATAATGGACACCTGGCGCGCTCTCCCTGAAGCGCCCTGACCCCGTCGAGCGCCTGCTTGATTCTCCCTGATCACTCCCTGAGAACCTGCGCTCCCGTTTCTAGACTGCACGTCCCCCTTCTCTCTCACTCCCCCTCTCACACGCGAGTAACCGCCTGAGCGCCGACGCGTCTCCCCGTGCTTGCACTCGCGGGTACACCTTGTTCGCGTCCGGCCCTCCCCCCTCTCTCGGCGTAACCGCCTGGGCGCCGATGTCTCCGCCTCGAGCTCGTCCCTCACTCTGCAACTGCTTGACGCCGGGCACACCTGGCATGCCATCCCATTCCCTTCACTGTTCTCCCCTAGATCCCCTTCAGTCCCATGGTCTGACCGACCAGGGCCTTCTCGGAGTGCAAGGTTGCAGGAAATAGTCCGCCGCGCCACGGAGGAAAAAGAAAACAGTGGTACCGGTCTCACAAGCTCGGTGTCCACAGTACCCAGGCACCAGCTTCAGCCCACTGGCGTAGACAGCTCCGACGAGTTTCGAAAGTCCCCTACATCCCCCTCCTTGCCACAGGCTTTAGCGGGTCAGTGATATCTGAGCGACTAAGCACTTAGGCCCGTAGTGGCCACGGCGTTGGGGCAGGGGCCTCCATGCGGATCCACCTGTACTGCCAGTTTTCGCACGGTACCTTGCGAAACCGCGTGGCCCTTCAGACCCTGCAGTACCAGTAATCTTCGGGTAGCACAAGTAGTCCCTTAAGCCAGGCAAGTTGAGCCCAATCCCACCAAAAAAAAAAACAGCTCTGCAGCCAACCCCCCCTTAGTCTGCATATGTCTAAAGGTTAACACTTCTATCTGCCGGTGGCCACACTACCCGTATACCGGCAGTTTGACGCTACCAAGTCCCATAGAACCGGAGCAAATGTGGCAATCTCCGACCGATTGCTGGATCAGCGCGCGTAAGTGTCCCAGGCTAGTACACACAATAGTGGTACCCCGTTGCGGTGTCCCATGGAACAAGTTGCGGCGTCACCATACCAATTCCGAACCTCGAACTAGCCAACTAGAACTTGTCTCGACGTTATATCTCAGCACTCCGTACCTGTCAATGTCAAACCCGGATCACTCAGTCAGGCTCGCTGTAATTCTTACCATACCGAACCCGAACCTGATATAACCATCCGGGGTTCCCGTGCCTCGCGCCGTGTCGATACCGATCCAGTACCAAGTCTAAAAATGATGTTGTGGCGTGTACCACGCCAATGCCGAACCAATACCGTACTTGAAACATGTCGAACACGGCAAGATGCAGCGGCGCGGKAATAGTACCGAACCTGAAGTAAACCGTCGCAATGATCCCGGACCTGAAAATAAATCACCGCAGTGGTTCCGAAATAAACTGCCGTGAGGGCGTCGAACCTGAAACGAAACACCGCGATGCCACCGAACGTGACCAAGCCCGAAATCCAGTACCGGGCTGTTGTGCCATGCGGATGCCGAACTCGTACAATCATGCCATGATAACCTGTCCCGAACCTGATATAGAATGCCACAACGTTTCCGGACCTGAAAACAAACTGTCGCCTGGAATAACTGTCGTAGTGGCCCCGGTCCTGACAATAAATCACCGCAGCTGTCCCAAACCTGAAAATAAGTCACCGTAGTGAGACGGCTGTCACCGGGCCCATAACGTACCTGAAGCACGTCAGACACCGTAGGACGTAGCCACTCCGTAACAACCCTCGTATCCGTACCGAACCAAACACCATAGTCGACCCAAGGCAGCACCACCTCATGCTGTCAATGCGACTCCTGCTCTCAGAACATCTCAACTGCGGTAATGTTAGTAATCAAGCACACCATGGAAAGCGTCGCAGGGAACCTCGACCATCGGCAGTAGTGTTAACTTGTTAAAATCCGGGGAAAATTATCAATCCGGAGTCAGAGCTGATGGCGGGTAATCGAGGCGRAATTAGRCCAATCTCCCAATAGTCATGGGTTCCCGTCCCTTTCATCGTTTTTCATCATTCTTCCCTTTCCTTAATTCTATTGTCGGAAATAGTAAATTAACTGTAAGTTCCCCAAAATTAAATTCCGAGAAAGTTTAAATAAATGGCCGAATTCCTTTTGTTTCTTTTCTTTTTTACCATTTTTAATTTTTTTCTATGTTTTTAATTTCATTGCCGGGAACATAAAATAACAAGGTTATTCCCCCTTGAATTAAATGCCGTAAAAAATAAAGAAATTAAGTGATATTATATTTTTCTCTTCTCCCCTACTGGTCGTAATCCCTTTTCCCCATCTTTAATTATAGTACTAAAATAGACAAAAATTTGAGGCCCCGGTCGTATGCCGAAAAAAATGTTGCTGCGAGGTCAGTTCCCGCGATGCCTCTCCGCGGCAGGCCAATCCGGGTCTAACCCTCTGAACGGCCGGAAATGACGGTCCGTTGATTTGTCGAGTGCGACCACCCATCTCGCCATCTTTGAGGGTTACCCGTAAGGTTCAGCGTGCCCAAAATCAAGGGCGCCCTGAGCTCCCCTAATTTTCGCTGCATGGTCTAACCAGAGTACCGTCAAAACTCAGACTCGTCTTTGCGCCTAAGTCCCAAAACCGTAGTTTTCAGGCGGCGCACTGCTTGTGGCCGCCTGACAGTTAGCCCGGACCACTTCTCGACGCCCCCGTAGAGCCCTAACCACTTTCGTCAGACGAAGCGGATGAGCTTCACGGCGATTGCCCGTAAAGGACGCCCACGTCGGCGTTCAGTTGTCTTATGTTTCAGTCTGTTTTGAGTTCTAGGGTTAAGTAGATGTTTTTTGACTTTCCTTCCAAGGATCCTCTTTTTTTTCTGTCGTTGGCCCGAGAAGGGTGCCGTCCCACCAGTTTGTCTAATGCGGACTCTCCGTTTGACCCTCTTGAGCACGAATAACCATTTCTTCTTTCTTCCTAGAGTTAACCCTTTGACCCTTTTTTTCTCTATTTTTTTTCTCTTCTTGGAGCTTTCGCCTGCCTCGAATCGTCTCAAGGGATCTCCATCCTCCATCTTAGCCTTCCCCTTTCCTTTGGGGCCCGTCAGCGATAAGGTGGGTGCAGGCTTGGGTCTAAACAGCTTTAACCTAGCGGCCGCCACTGGGTCCTTCCACTTAGATCCATCCAATTCTGCTATCATATATGCACCCCAGTTGAGTGTCTCAACCACTCTGTAAGGTCCCATCCATATATTTGCGAGTTTTCCGGTCCAGGTCCTCTCCAGTGTCGCGTCGTAGAGAAGGACCATATCTCCTACGCTCACCCTCTCTTTCCTGATTCGCACGTTCTTATCCCATCTCTCTTTACCCTTGTCCCTTTCCACTGCCAGACGATCTGCCGCTGTCATGAGGTTATCTTCCAAACCGTAGGCTATCTGTCTTGTTCGGGCAGCTATGAGTTCCTCTCTGGACTTCTCCTCCGCCCAGTCAACGGTTGTCCAGCTGTCGACGTGAAACTCTATGGGGAGCGGACAATGTCGCCCAAACCACAAGGTGTACGGTGGGTATCCGATACTAGCCCGGATCGTGACGTTGTCCGCCCATATTGCGTATCGAAAATATCGTGGCCAAGCACTGTCCTTGCCTTTGCACCACTTAGATAGCGACGCTATCAATGTGTGGTRCCCTCTCTCTACTGGGGASTTCGACTGTGGGTGGTAGGCAGTGGCTATCGAAACTCTCGCCCCATCTCTCTTGAATACATTCTGAACCTCGTCAGCCAGGAATTCCGCTCCTCTGTCCATCACTATCTTGCTGACACAACCATACCTAGATAAGTACTCTAGGAYGAAGTTCTTCACTTCCCTTGCCGTCTTACTCTTGATAGATCTACCGTCCACGAACCCCGTGAAGTCGTCTCGTATGTTCACAACATAGTTCATATTGCCTACCCCTTTCGGCATCTTTACCAGATCGATGTGTACCTTCTCTCCTGGTCGGGTTGGATAGGATGAATGGATGAAGTGGCTCTTTGTATTTCACAAGAGCTCTCTTCTAGCATTCTTCGCAGGTTATATAATATCTCTCGACGTCCTTATACTGTCTTTCCCACCAGTACAGCCTGCGTACCTTTTCGTAGGTCCCTCTGACTCCTCTATGTCCTCCGACCACCCCATCGTGAAGCTCTGCTACTATCGTCTGTCTCTCTTCAGGATCACAGACTACTCGTAAGCGCATTCCCGACCCTACTGGCCTTCGGAAAAGGTGGCCCACTCTAAGGCAGTACTGGGATGCTTGTCTCCGGATATCTGAATCTTGACTCTCCTCTCCCGTCAGGTGTAGTCTGATCGTTCGGTACTTGCCCTCGTAAAGATTAACTAGAAATCTCTCGGCGCGTCTCGGCTCTGCCATTGTCAGGGCTCCAGCTACTATCGGGCGCTTGCCCTCAAGAGGGATCCGAGGGAGCCCATTCGCTACGACATTTTTAGTGTCAGATATCCTCTCCACGGTGTAATCATATAACCGAATCCGTATTAACCATCGTGAAATGGTCGGGTCTGTCAGGCTAAAGCCCTTCTGGAGGACAGAGGCGACCGCAGTGGGATCCACTCTCAAGATGAACCGTCGTCCATAGATATAATATCTGAACGTGTCTAGACACCGCAGAAGAGCTAATACTTCCTTCTTGAATTGACTGTAGTTTCGCTCTGCCGTATAAAGTGTCCTACTCTCAAATCTTAATGGTCTTTCCTTCCCTTCAGCGTCCTTCTGAGACAGCAACCCTCCTACCGAACAAGGCCCAGCATCTGTGGCTACTATGAAGGGTCTCCCAGCCTCATCATCAAAGTACGGCACGCCCAGTACGCGTCCTCCCTCCTTAAATTCATCTTTAAGCTCTTGCATAGCGAGTTCCTGCGAGCAATCCCAGTAGAATTTCTCAGTTTTTCGAAGGAGTAGTCTCAATGGCTCAGCCTTCTCCTCATACCCTCGTATGAATATACGCCAGTAACCGACCACTCCCAGAAACTGTCGGACCTCGGTTGGACTATGTAATGGTGACGGCCAGTTCAGGACTTTGTCTAACTTCGCTGGATCTGCTCGGCGTCCCCTCGAGTCACAGATGAAGTCCAAGATCTTAATAGTCGAGACGGCCCATCGGCTCTTTGTTCCGCTGACTGTTAGATTCGCATCGTCCAGCTGCTCGAGTACCGCGCAAATATCCGTTAGGTGCTGCTCGACGAATCTTCTAACTCCAGGTGCAACCTCTGCCTCATCCTTGTTTACTGGCCCTTCTATAGGAAAGTCATCCAGAAAAACTTCAACCTTATCAGGGATGAAGTCCTTGAGGACGGCTACCATGGCTCTCTGAAAAACGGCTACCCCATTAGTCCAACCCATAGGAACAACCATCATCTGTATTAGTCCCAATGGCGTATGCATTGCCGTGAGGTGTCTGTCTCTATGGTCAAGTGGCACCTCATCATAGCCTGAGAACATATCACAGACCGAATAAATCGACCTACCTGCGGCGCCTTCTGCCAGTAAATCGACGTGTGGCACGGAGCCCACGTCTCGTATCGTCACCGCGTTGACCTTCTGAAGGTCCTGGATCCATCGGATTTTGCCATTCGGCTTTCGTAGGAAGAACCATCGATTAGCATAAGCGCTATCAGACGGCTCTGCAACATGGGAAACCATCTTTTCTTTCAGGAAAGCTACAACTTCTTCCTTCTCCTTCTGGGCGTATTTCCATCCCGCGTCATTCCAGGGAACATGTGGTATCGTGTAAATCCTTGCTGGCTTAGCGTATCGAGGGTCAACCCTACTGCGCTTCGCGTCACTAAAAGCTATGCCCTTATCACATGTCTTCAGGATTTCTATCACACGTTCTCGCTC